TGGTTTTTTTTTTTGTGCTATACACTAATAAAAAAGGCTTAAATTTGGCTTTAATTTTTATGCGTACCTTTTTTTTACGTGACTGCATTAATTATATAAAAAAAAAAGCCTAATTTTATAATTTAACATAATCACGTTGATTCTAAAAATATTAAAGCATGAGTTAAAATTAAAAAAGATAATTTGGTATATAATATATAATTCAAAATTAGTAAAAAACCACGTATACGTACGTACTTATTGGAATGACTTTTACTAAAACGCACCTATGAATAGATTATCTCAAAAACTAATTAATCGGTGCGGGGTGTTCTAAGTAAAAATATTCTACGCCACCCAAAACCCTTCTTAAATTCTAACCATAAATACTAAGCCTAACGTGAAAATTTAGCGTTAAAATTTTTATATACAAAACTTAGAAAATCTATAAAACATAATAAAAACATATAACGATAATAGGTGCCAAACCACCATAGGTGTATTATATAATAAATGTATTGGACCGATCATCATGCAGTCACCTCATGTGCATTGGCGTCTGCATGGTACGTAGCTGCATTTTGCATATAGGTTAACTTTCTCGTGATTGGTCAATTTTATTCAATTGAATTTATACAGTTTAGAGTACTTTTACCCCCCTAATATGGTAAAATTTTTTTTTTAAAATAATAGATTTTTTATAAACAAAGTACAGTGACTAATAACAAATATTCACATATTTTTTTTTCAAGAAAAAAAAAAAAAATTATGTCGAAAAGTATATTATACTAAAAAATATATATATCTTTACAATCTACTAATACGTCTGCCCAAAATCATGGTACTATCGTCCGAATCGTGAGGGCGACGAGGACGGGCATGTTTACCAGGGCGGAATGATTCAGAATTGTTCTATGATTTATATAAAGAATAAACTTTGTAGATTTATCTGTAAAGCGATATGAATGATTGACACTAGAGAATATTAATAAATTAAAACCTACTTCGAAGAACGACTTAACTCGAGTGGGTTTTTTGCCAGTAATTTTCTTGTAATCATCAGAAACATGATCAGCTTTACCATCTTTGACATAATCCAAGGTGTCAAGGCTATTTTTTAAATCAATTAATAATGAATAATGAATTATAGAATCATATGATTTTAAATTAACTGAACGTATACTTACAGCATATCAATTTCAAAATGGGGTAAAGGTAAGAAAGGCATAGGATGACGATCTCGACGATTACGTCCATCAAGCAAGAATGGAACAACATCAAGACTCCTCTGGACATTTTCTATAACCTCAACGGCATCCTTGATATTGGTCAAAATGAATAATCGTTCTTGAACATCTAATTCGAATCTTTCAATATCAATGTTCTTCAATCTCGCAATGATATCTCGCATTGTATTAACAAAGGCAGTAATGTTCCTATTAAATCTTTCTTCATGAACGTCTTTGTATCGGCCTGGACCGGCAATTTTTTCTTGCAAGCCCATGGCATTTCGATGAGGACCATATTGATTTCTAACGGAGGATTGACGGTCAACTTCTTCGAACAAAGTTGTCGCTGAAATAAGTTTATTAACACCTTCAATAAAGTTAGATTTTCCATTCTCCAAAGATTGTTGTGTATTTCTAAAGAAATCAGCAAGACACTCGTGTAAAAGGGCTACTCCACGTTGAATCAAATAAATTCCATCGCGTTGTTCAAGAAGACTATCTTCAGCAGGATCTTGTTCACGACTTCGGTCACGATCGAGATCATCTTCATTAAGACTGCTGAGGTATTCTTCAAGTTGACGACGATTAATGGTGCGGTATTCGGCATCACCTTTTTCTTCAATGACTCGATTGATGGTATCAACAATTTTACGGCCGCTTACAAGTTCGGGACCGGTTAAACAATAGATCTTGTTTCGATGTTTTTTGGTAAGTTCAGTTACCACTTTGCCATTTTCTAACATTAAGCATACGATCGCACAAATAAGGTCGTCCATATTAAGAGGAGCCCATTCGTTACTTTCACGAGGAGTCATGCTAAGTTCCCCTCTGTCTTCAATATTTGGAGACCAAAGGAAGAACTAGTAAAGTAAAAAAGTTATTAACACACAGATAAAGATAGGTATTGGGGATTTTTTTTTTAAACAATATAAACAACATAATGCTTACAGCTTGTTGAAGGAAAGAATTTCTAGAAAGAAAAAGAATAGTTAGATTAAACCGATTGCGTGAAACAGAATAATAGATCTATGTGATAGATAACAAATTATATCTACCTAATCACACAAGAATGTTTCACCTTCTGGCATACTTCCTTTTCCATTTCCCTAAAATCATGCAAAATTTTGCCATCGCCATCGTCGGCACCTTCCAGCGATAGTACAATTACGTTATCAACATCCTTATGAGCGGCAGCCTAAAAAAAATAACAAAAAAACAAAAATAAGAATAAGAATTTATGATCACATTAAAGGGATAATTAGAGAAAGAAAAAATTTTCATTAACATACATCGGCTAGGATCTTAGCTTCTTTGACACGATGTTTATCAGCTTCACTAACGAAGATCAAGTAACAAACATCATGTAAAGCGTCTCTAATTGTATCAGGACGGTCATCGTAACGGAGCTTTTTTTGCCGCAATCCAAAATAAGATTTCTAGCGATAGTATTACCGAACCAACGATCTGTTGCACAAACAGCGATCTTATGAATACGGTGAGTTGCTTCATCGGCAAGATTTAGATTGTTCATGATTGATGAATTTAAAAAAAGGATGGGTGGAGGAAGAGATATTAACGTTGGAAAGTGAAAAAAAAAGCTTGTAGAATTCTCTACAACTGCTGTTGCAATTGTAAGGAAAAATAAAGGGAAAAGGCTAATGTATTTATAACTTTAGGAAAGCATGACATCCAAAGGAAGAATCATAAAACGATAAAAGCAAAAGAAATCTTTTTGAGGAATTAATCAGTTAAGTGATCATTTTAACAAACAACATTGATCAATTCGATCAATCAAAATAATTAAGAATCAAAAGCAATATCCACCGAGAAGATTCATTTATTTAATGTGAATTTCTCAGAAATACGAAATTTAACGATAAACTCATCCCTGCAAAATTATATGGTTACACTTCTTTTGGACAGTAGTTTGTCACAAGAAAGAAAAGTTCATAAGAAAGTTCACATGAGAAACCTTGAAGCAATAGATAGTAGGGCAGAAAAAAAAAATTGCGTTTCTTTCGCGATGACTTGAGAATGATCGATTAATATAATATTATTTACGGGTAACTTATCAAATCTTCCATTTTCATCGAACTATATTATCTAAGCGATGTAGATAAGATGGTAAATAAACTTATCTATCCAGATAAGGTTAATGCTAATTAGAGATGCAGACTTTATTAATTATAATAAAAAGCTGATTAGCCAAAAGAAGCTGATAAGCCTCTAATTCAGGGGATGTCTAAAGCGGGTAGACGCATAATATTTAATTGAATTAACTTTAGGGTTAAAGCACTTTGGAGTAGGGTTAGACTAGGTTTGATAGATTATGCAAGTAAATTGCCTCCCTGACTTACTTTTCAAGGTAGGTTCAGACTACCGTTTTTTAGTTGGTTTAATTTTTCTTATTCAGGAGATTCATAAATTATTACGCGAGTAAAAGTAATATACATAAGTCATGTAAGTTACGTCGACATTATTGTTATCAAATTACAACCATTTTTAATTATCTCCTTGCACATGAAAGTATACTGCAGTTTCTTGCCTTTTACAACGAAATTTAAAATCTTGTTTATTTTGTCCTTAATCCTTAATTTAAGAATATGATTATTTACCAGCGAAAAGTCTTTCCCAGAAATTTTCATATTGATCAAGTCCATAATAAGATGTTTCGTGAAATTTTTAAATCTGAATTGTTACATTTTAATTTAAATTACATAAAATGAGGAAGTCAAGTATTCTGTTTTTTTTTTAATTTAATAAAAAGATTAAGAAATAATCCCATAAACATGCACGATTAGAAGGATATAAATAGAGTGAAAAATTTTAATTTCTACTTATTAGAGCAAGTTATAATTGTGTGAAAAAAATATATATTACAAATTATATTGCAAATACGTTTTTCTGAGAAGAGATCGAGTTTTCATCTGCCCCATGCCTCTCATTTAAACATTTCCCACTTAAGAAATGTTTAAAGTCTGACTCGCGTGCTCGAGGTATTTTCCCAACTCATATTAATACTCAGGGTATTTGTGTAAGGGCAATGTTGGCACCAGCAATTTGAATTGGAATTGAACTTATACGTACGTTCCAATTGGAATATATAACTGATAAGTAACGATGCATATATATAAGTGACAGATAAAAATTCTCACGCTTAAATTTGGTTTTGAGATATTTATTTGATATTACTTCGCAACTGCACATAGAAACTAATGAAAAAAACGATTCGAAATATAGAATAGCTTTCTTCCGATGGGTCAATCGTTTACAATTGTCCAGTGCAAACCAATAACCTATAATCCCTCAGAGTATCAACAAAAAAAAAGCTTGGCATTTGAGTGGCTACGACTGATGTTTTAAACTTTAAGATTGCAATTATTACGAATTCACAACTTCAGTCAATTTTGAATAAAATTTGAACCTTGAAACCAATAAAAACAAACCCTTTAAATTCGGCTTAAAATGTTTCAAGAATCAATAAACAAATGCGGATACATATATTATTTAATATTATGAGCATGTACTAAAAAATTAATTTTACCAGTTCAATAAAACAAAAAAAAGAACCATTTTATTTGTTAATATAAGGTTTGAATAAAAAAATCACTATTAAGACAGTTAGCAAGCAATAAACGAAAAAATCAAATTAAAACCAACTTAATTGCAAATAACGAGTACTGTTTGACATGTCAATTACACAGTTCATTTTTTTTCGATATTGTTCAATGTCTTTGTCATAGGATCAAATGACTTATTTTACAGCTTTGATGCGTTTGATATTTTCAGCTAATTTTTACTCTTCTATAATTACAAGTGCTTTTTTAGTTTAATATTATAATTTTCAACTGAATCCTCTTCTGCTAGTCAATCGGTTCATTATTGTTATCCAATTTGATTAATTTATTATTTTTAATTAGTTTATACGTATAATTTATCTTTAATTAGATTTATTTTAACTAAAAAAAGAAAAAACTAGCAACTTTTTTTTAAATTAACAAAAAATTTGGTTGTTACAATTTTTTTATTAAACTAAGCATTTATATCTTTTGAATTAACTTGTAAGAAAATGCAGATACCTACAAACTTATTGTATTTTAATTTGCTGCTTATATTTTGTTATTTGTGCTTAAAATCTTTAACTCAATTTAGCCTCATTTGATTTATATGAATTGGATTTAATTTTTGTATATGTTGTATATGGATTTGGAACCTTGTGGATTCTGAATCTACTTAAATGGATTCAGAATATAGATGCTGGTGAAACTGTGAAACTGGTGAAACTGATATAACATCCAATCAGATTTTAGATAGTCACCAGTTTCACCAGCATTATTTAGTTTCACCAGCATCTATAATTCAGAATCAACTTAAGTGAGTTTCGAATCTCAAAACAACTTAAGTGGAAATAGAATTTATTATCGTTATAACATTACACTCTATTTTACACTTAATATTATGGGACGACAACTGCTTCCACCGTCTACATCTTACAATCACATTTGTGCCGGTTACGGTAGAAACAGACTACATTCTTATGTTTTTGTCTTGATCAACTTCAAGCTTCCCATATTCCTTATAGTATTCCAATAGACATGATAAAGTATTACATTTTACATCGCAAGTGGTATGTTTTATTTGACAATTTCTTGATTATTTTGCAAGATAAAGTAGTTCGGTCAATGATGTTATAATCCATTTTAAATTGCAATTAAATAGCAGTTCTCAACTCCCGTAGCTGAAAGAATTTTAATCCAAATATCAATCTTTTGGAGTTCCCAAATTTGTATTAGTAGGCTCATAATCGAGTGTGAAATAAAAGTTTTATGTCTGGCAAGTTATTTTTTTTCAAAAACTTATTAACTAATTCGTTAAAAACTTGGAGTCTTTGCCTTGAAAATCACCTTCCGACATTTCCGATCGGGGTAATTCGGACAAAAATAAACCCGAGTACCGGTTAATGTTCATATGCTAATCATCTTTTAACTTTATTGATTCAATAGTTTATCGAATAACTATTGAATCAATAAAAGTAAAAGATGACTAACATATGAATATGAACCGGTACTCGGGTTTATTTTTGTCCGAATTAACACGATCGAAAATGTCGGAAGGTGATTTTCAAGGCAAAGATTCCACTTGTCTTAAAAGAATATTCTTGGGTTAACATTTTAACTTGAAACCTTTTTCAAAGTACAGTACGATTTTTTAAATACGTATGATTTATGAGTGATATTAAGATCCATAATCGACTTAAGTTGTTTCTGGATTTGAAATCCACTTAAGTGTATTCCGAGTCCACCGAATTCCAAATTCACCTACAACATATATACTGTATTTATCTGGCATTTTCTATTTAGGCCATATAAAATTAATTGCTTGTTTCTCATAACCCGGCCGGGTTAGTTTTTGTAAAGTTTCAATCCAAAATTTATAAGTTATTTATTATGAATACTTTCTGGTGAGTTTTTAGAAAAAATTAATAGTTGTTTAAAAAAAACAATTTTTGATTAAAAATCAAAACCCGGCCAAGCGGGTCGCTTTAAAATTTATGAGAAACAATTAAAATTATGTGGCCTTATCGGATTTTGCATATACCAACTAGTGTTCCGCAGAACCGAACCGAAGATCCGGAACCGACCCGGAACCGACCCCCGATTCGGGTCCGGATCCATCATTGTTAGAATAATTTCGGTTCCGGGTCTCGATCTATACCCGAATCGGTAATACCCGCCATATGTGTAACAAAAAAAATTTTTTTGACCCTATATATATCTAGCGACAAAAGTTGTTTGAACCAACAAGTTATAACTATAAAGTCGT